TTGTCAGGAACCGGTTGAGAGAAGACACCATCTGTTCTTTCAATGTCCGTTCACGAAACAAGTATGGGAGGAGCTAGTAAAAGGGATACTTCAAGAAAGTCACACTTCGGATTGGGATCAAATCACTTTGCTCATAACAGATGCAACAATGGAAAAGAAAGCTCTATTACTTCTGTGATACACGCTCCAAATTGCAGTCCATACCATATGGAGGGAGAGAAATAACATAAGACACGGTGAAGAACCTCAAACAACATCAAGCCTTGGAAAAACATCGACAAGAACATTCGCAACCGGATCACTTTGCTTCGGTCATCGGGGAATGCAAAATATTGAGACTTATTCATATTTTGGCTTTCTACGAGGAGATAATTTGAATACCCCTCTTGTAACTAATGTCAAAAACTACTCAAAACAGTTGCACTTGATGTAATATTAGTTTTATTGGTGAATAAATTTAACATTCATTCAAAAAAAAAAAAAAAACTAAAATTGATTTTACTTATTCGCGACAAGGTGCCAAAGCTTTTCATATTGAAGAAACATCATTACAATAACTAATTATCTACCGTCGCGTCTCTTGGTAAAACTTTTTAAAGAAAAAATAACATCAGTTAACCGTAAAATCTTATAGATCACAAATTCACAATAATCACAATCAAGATATATAATATGAAGTCATTTGCCGGCACAATGAAAGTTCCACAACTTCGTCTCCAAAGTTCATCACTTTCCCCCAATCATCACAAACGAGACAATTCCAAAGTTTACATCGGTCTTTGACAAATTCTCTCCTAATACACGTACAATATGAAAATGATATCAGATTTGAGTTTATATCAATAATATATGTTTGCAAAAAGCTTACAAATAGAGAACACGAATAAATTATTGGGCCAACATCATAAACGAGACCTAACTAATAGCTTAATACGAAGTGTAGTCCTCCACTCCTCCTACATGGTTCCGTACCTCTATGGGGTCCCAACGTTTTCGTTTCTGCTTTTTAATTAAAAAATCCAATCATATCTCATCCTAAAGACAAGATCTTAACCGTCCTTTTGTATAACTAAGAATGATCGAACGGCTTGAATGCTGTTAAGTCTTAATGATGAGGATATAATATATGCTCATTTATTTTTCTTTAGAAGAATACTAAGACCATCTTTATCAATGGGTTCTTAAGAAAATCTTAAGATGATCTTAGTAATTTTTTAGTATTATTACTAAGAACCAAAGTTAAGATTTACCTCTTTTTGGCTCTTAGGTAAGCAACTCCCTCAACTCATCTTAACTTTGGTTCTTAGTAATAATACTAAAAAATTACTAAGATCATCTTAAGATTTTCTTAAGAACCCATTGATAAAGATGGTCTAAGTAGTACAACCAGAGTTATATCAGACTGAAGAGGTAAGAATTAAAAGATAAACCCCACACTTTCTCTCTTACAAAAAGTTAACTTATTCATAGTTCAAGAGAGAATTAATTGGTAACACAAGACCATAATCATATCTTGAAGAGTTGCAAACTTGGACAAACAAACAGTTGATGGAAGAAGCAAATATTATTACATTAAAAAAAAAAAAAAAATAATATTATTACATTATGCATCTACAATAATCAAATTCATAAAATATAGATTAAACTAGCTCTGGAAATAACAAACAGGATATCCAATGGAGTCAGCAGTGAAAACAACATCATATGATTGGGTTTCGGGATCATGTATCGCCAGTGTTTGACCACGATATTGACCACGACCACAATACAACAACTTCTTCGTCTTCTTCTTTTCCCCATCCAAAAGTGCTATTGGCGCGAGCGGCAATCGAACTTGGATACCAAGCCTCCTAAGAGTTTTATCCATATCTATGGAATACATTTTGTCCCATGTCTTATTACCTGAATTGAATAACCATATATCTTGTTTGGACCATTTCAAATTGTTGGATACGTATAAACGGTTGTCGAGGTTTCCTATGACCATCTTGTACTTGTCAGTAGATACACATGAAAAAGGAGCTTTAGCGACGACTTGAAAAGCTTCGGTGTGAAGATCGAAAGATAAAATTTTGGTTTCGAGGCAGTTGGTGAAATAATAAAGCGATCCATCTAGATACGCAGGATCGTGACCAGTAACCTCATAAGGTGCAGAGGGAGTGACATACCTCCAGGCGTCAGTGCTAAAGTCGAAAACTTCGCATGTGGTGGTGCCATCTTTTAGACCAACCTCTGAAGAATTGTATAACCAAACGGGCTTGAATGTGCCCGTGAATTTATCTTTCCCAAATCCAAGACCAAAATAACTGTGTACAAACCTCTCTTCTCGTGTGTCGATTATGAGTCGTTGTTGATAGTTGTTGAGAGGAAGAACTCGATGCCATCTAGTGGTGGGATTGACAACAAAACCAGAGTGGTCGGGAAAGAAGAGACAAACGAGACCGTCAAACATTCTTGTTCGTTTGCTTACACAACATTAGACATAACACAAACATTAGCAGCTACCTTAACTGCGACACATAAACTGTTGTTTCCAGTGAAGGTCTTAACTATAGTTACATTCCCAAATTATTAATTTTACAAAACATATAAACATTACAATGCCATATTTCTCTAAACCTCCCTCTTACCTCTGTTGCGAAAACAAGAAAAAGAAGACGATAAAAAGAAACTGATGATCTTGTTTAGATCTCTGTTGTTGATGTCCAACACCATGATGTCTTAACATGGCAGCTTGAAACCCATGTCCTTCCCTGCCATGTAATCAGTCCAGACATCAAGAGCTCCAAAACTAGTCATAAGAAGTTGTGATCAATACATTCATGTCTTCCAAAAAAAACACAAAGCCATTTTGGGTTGAATTTAGTTTTTTTTTTTTAACTCATATTTATATATCCCTTGGTTTCAATTCTCTTCACTTCGATTGTGATTACCCGTTAGCGAACCATACTTAGGTTTACCCCTGGGGTGAACCTTTAAATTCACCCAACAGATTATAGCCAATCGTTTTGTCATGTCATTACTAATACTAGAGAATTAAAAAAAAACACAATTAAAAAAAAAAGAAATCAGAAAATAGATTTAGGGTTTAGGGTTTAGGGTTTAGGGTTTAGGGTTTAGGGTTTAGGGTTTAGATTTTACAATTAAAACGAAATTAGATGTCGGTTTGGGTTGCCAAATGAGTGGTTAAGGTTTAGATTGTATAATTAAAACGAAATTAGATATCGGTTTGGGTTGACAAATGAGTGGTTAGGGTTTAAATTTTACAATTAAAACGAAATTATATATCTGTTTAGGTTTGTGAAATATTTGTTATATAAACCCTAAACCTTAAACCCAAATCCTAAACCATAAACCCTAAACCCAGCGGTGAACAGATATATAATTTCGTTTTAATTGTAAAATTTAAACTCTAACCACTCATTTGTCAACCCAAACCGATATCTAATTTCGTTTTAATTATAAAATCTAAACCCTAACCACTCATTTGGCAACCCAAACCGACATCTAATTTCGTTTTAATTGTAAAATCTAAACCCTAAACCCTAAACCCTAACCGATATCTAATTTAGTTTTAATTATAAAATCTAAACCCTAACCACTCATTTGGCAACCCAAACCGACATCTAATTTCGTTTTAATTGTAAAATCTAAACCCTAAACCTTAAACCCTAAACCCTAAACCTTAAACCCTAAATCTATTTTGTGATTTCTTTTTTTTTTAATTGTGTTTCTTTTTTTTTTTAATTCTCTAGTATTAATAATGACATGGCAAAACGATTGGCTATAATCTGTTGGGTGAATTTAAAGGTTCACCTCAGGGGTAAACCTAAGTATGGTTCCCCGTTAGCGTTGCATGATTTTTGATTAATTAAAAATTTGTATGTGATTTTATTGGAAAAACAATATTAAGAATCATTGAAATTGGTGGTATACACTTGCAAAACTTTCGCAATAAGTTGTATATTGTTTTGTAAAATCCAATGCCAATTACATTTTATTCTCTAGATTTTAAAAGTACTAGTGTATATTAACGAAAACGGCTTGCGTATACAGATGTCTATATTAACTGATGTCTATATGACGTATACAGAGGCCACAAGAAACACAAGCCCAAGCAAGTAGAGTAAGTAGTAGTATAGGCTTTGAGAACTTTGATTGCTCACAAATGGGCTTCATTAGGTTTAGGCTTCTTGTAACCTCCTCTAATCACTACAGGAAAATCGAGTATTAATAACAACAGAAAAACGCTATGTAAAGGTATGATAGCGTTATAGAAAACGCTATCTCATCGTCCGCGATAGTAGGTCCATCACTTTAGATAGCGCTTTTCTGCTTTGCTATCATTTTTGAGTAAATAATAGCGTTTTTATCTATGCAATTGTTATTAATACAATAGCAAATATATTTTGCTATAAACTATTTTATCAATAGCATGTTTTGTAACTTTTTTATAGCAGTCAGTATATATGTTATAATTTTTGTATTATCTATAGCAATTATATTTTCTACAATAACGTTGAAAATATGCCAAAAAAATAAATTTTAAAATCTGTGATTTACCAGATTATTGTTTTTATCCAATTTTATTTATATTAAAATATTTGAATTATTTCATTATTTTTTAGGAAACAAATAACAATGTTAATTATATATTTGTAATTTAAAAAAATAATCATGATACAAAACAATCCTACTACCAAAACTTCTCTTCTCATATATACCCAATAGGCCTACGAGCCCATGTCGAAAAAAACAAAAAATAAAAACACAACGCAACTCTCGAACTTCTTCTTCTTCTTCTTCTTCTTTAATCATCAAGCTTCCTCCTTTACCAAAGTAGCTACAGAAATCAACCAAACAAAATTAAGAATATCAACCAAACCGAGATTAGAGAGCTAATAGTCCGTTTGTCTCAAAAGCTAACAATATAATGTTCTTCCTATCATCAACCGCAGCAGTTGTAAAAACCTAAAACCAACAAGTTCATTAGAAAACATTAATTAAAGAAGTGTTTATTGGAATTGAGAAACTAAAGCGTCTGTTACTTACCGTGAAGACATTTTTCCAACCAGATTTCACATTACTAACTCGACTAAGAACCATTTGAGAAACACATCGGACTATTAGCTCTCTAATCTCCATCAAACTCACCAGAATCAACACCAATCAATCAACATGATATCAGTTCAAAAAACACTTATCAAAATCAATCAACCCAAGTACGAATCAAGCCCATAAGAAACCGAGAACCAAATAAATCAAACAAAATCTAACAAGAAGAAGAGTTATATGGCAGAGAGCGAGAACCAAGTTGTTTCCTGAGCTTCACAGATGAAATCATATTCGAAAAACCCTAGGATGAATCAAGGTCAACGAAGGCAAAGAGTGAGAAGGATGCGATTCTCGACTCCAAACGGAGAGAAATCGGAGGACGAGAGGTACAAGAGAAAGACAACCATGGTTAAGAGAGAGGGAGGGACGCCAGAGATCTCGTAGACAATGTAAATCTCGAGGAAGATAATAGAATGTTAAGACCATCTGCAGTGGTGTAAGTGTGAGGGAGGGGTGTAAGATTTTTTTTATTATTATAATTTAAAGTGAGAGAGAAAAGAGAGAGAGAAAGAAAGAGAGAGAGAGAGATAGAGTGGCTTACACCCGAGTGTAAACTTACACCCGGGTGTAAAGAAAGAGACAACTTTTATATTATTTCTGTATTTTAAAATAATGTTTACACCCGCAAGGATACACCACTGCGGATGCCCTAAGAGGTAGTAAGTGAGAGAACTAAATCTGTCCGTTGCTTATACTGTTATCAACGGTGGATATCAAATCAGGTGTAATCCTCACCTTTAAGAATTAACCAATCAGAAACAAGTCTGCTTATTTGTATTTTAAAAGGTTTTCCTTTTGTTATTTTTTTCTAATTAGTAAATTAATTTTTAATATGTGATAAATTGATGAAAGATAAACTAGTATATCATAAAACTATTTGAAAACATATCTCATAATTAACTTCATTGGCAAATAATTATATTTTTATACTTTTGTTTTAGTTTTTTTATGTGTGAATCAAGTTTATTGGTTAGAATTCATAATTTAGGGTTTGGCCTTTAAGATTTAATATTTAGAATTTTGAAAATGGTTAAATTCATTAATCCATTTATATTTCTATTTTTAATAACACTAAAAACATATATATATAAATATATATTAAAGATCATGAATTCAACCACAAACTCCAATACCCTAAACCCTAAACTCTATACCCTAAACCTCAAACCCTATACCCTAAATGTTAAATTAAAGATCATGATTTTTTTTTTAACTTTGTAAATTTAAATCTCAATTATTGGTTGTTCATTCTTTCTATTTTGTAAATCTAAATAAATAATTTATTTTACTTTTAATCAACTTTATTTGCAAAATAGTTATATTTTGGTTTATACCTTTTGATTACGAGTGTAAAGTTTGGAAGTTTAAGTTTTAAGATTTAGGTTTTGAAGTTTAGATTTATTTTGAATAAGTATATATCGAGTTTAGTTTTTAGATTTTTTGATTGAAAAAATAATTATACTTAAAATCTTTTTATAAGTGTTTTTGTATTACTTCTATTATTAATAACACTAAAAAACCTTTTTATTTGTAACTCTAAATCTATCTTATTGGTTGTTTCTTCTTCTTATTTTGTAAATCTAAATCTTAACTATTGGTTGCGTATTGATAATCTTATTTTATTTACTTTTGATAACAATAACATATTTAGAGAATAAGTTTACAAAAAAACAAGATCTGTTTTATTTAATTATCATAATAATAAAACTTGTTTGCAAACGTTTCACATAAGAAATTATACGAACAAGAAGAAATTGACATTCCACTAAAGAACATCACACTAAGGGAATTAAGAAGCTTGAGATTTATTTAATTATCAGATTCATAGAATTCAATATCCAAACATGTTGTGTTTTCTCCACAGTATGTAATATATGAGAACCCATTCTTCTTTCTTGTTGATGCTTGACATCATAGCTCCTGCAATCAAGTTTTTCAGTTCGATACAAAGATATAAGCAATATAATAAAAAATCGTAGGTGATAAAAATGCATTCTTTATAAGCCAACTAATTGTAATAAACCAACGTACCTGAACTAACTTCATCTTCTTGATATGTCGTTGTTGGAATGGGCTTGTTGGTGCAGTCACTTCTGCATTTGCCACTAGACGAACAGCTTGAGAATAGAATCCTGTACATCAAGGAAAAAACCAACAATACAATATCAACAATCAAAATTCAAGACCAATGCAGACAAGAATCTTTAGTCAGGCGAGTTTTAGTGATCAAAAAAGCCAAAGATAGAGTCAGATTTGGAACATACCCACAATTGCAATCACTGCCACAAAGAGTTGAAGAACAAGGATCCAAGGAGCAAGAACAAATATGCCATGATCTTTAACCCTCTTTTTGATTCTTCTTCAAGATATAAGAAGAGAATTAGCTGCCATTAGGTAACTTACCATACTAGTGAAACAAACTTCTAACCTGAAAACGAAGTTTAACTGTTTGATTGATTTGCAGGAACAATGCACGATGTAAGAGGATACTTGGTGTGGAGTTGTGACCACGGAGTCGCAGCTTGCACCAAATCTTCAACGCCTCTTTCCTCTGCTTATCTCGAGACCTAAACCGCACAAAGAAGATGACCAAAACTATCAACGTTAGAACATACATATTTACAAGAATAGTTATAAGATAAATGACACACATGAAATAAATCCAAATCTAGCCCTTCACATCAAAACTACTTAGACAGATTCAGAGAAACCCTTCCGAAAAAATGATATTATGTCGGAGAAACAAAAGCAATTGAGATTTAAAACTATCAGCACAAATCTTGAATCTGTGACAACTTCATCAATGCAAATTCTCAAATTTTGATTACCAGCCTGTCATGAACTTCAATTAAATTCAGAATTCCAGAAAATTTTGATTGCAGAAAATAGCTAAAGCATAAGATCACAATCCAATTCCAATTCTAATTTAATCCAATTCTACTGTTAATTTCATATGAATCTTGAAATGAGAAAACGAATAACAAGATTCAAAATCAAGTGAAAAGAAAATCTAGACCTCGTGGCTGGATTGCGTCTTTGTCGCCGAAATCAGGGATGGGAATCAAACGCTCTCGATCTCTTTCACCAATGGCCAGCACGCCGGCTTCTTGTCTCCCATCGCCGAAAAACTCAAGTCGGAGAAGAAGAAGAAAGAAAGAGAAAGAACAAAGAAGAGAGAATAGAGAAGAGAGAAGAGATAACCAAAAAGTTTGACGAGTAATTTAACCTAATCCATATTTCTCTTCTAATTCCTTTCTTTTTCACTATTTTTTTTTTATTATTATTTTGTTACTTAATAATTTTTTTGGAGGCAATGAAATTTTCATTTCCCGGTTACCTCTACGATAACGTTTTTATTGACATGTATGCTATCGTATAACTAAAAGTTAAGCGCCAATATAAAGTATTTTCGCGGTCATTCTATTATAGCGTTTACCTTTTCAAAAAGGCTATAAATTATTTCTCAAACCTCAACTATAGCAGAACCATCAAAAACGCTATTATGTACTGCTATTAATACTCCTATTTCCTGTAGTGAATAGAAACATTGATTAGCCAATAACCAATCGAGCTTTATTGTAACACACTTGAAAGAAAAAGACACTAAAGTTGTGACACAAGATTACACTAAGCCATTGTTAAAGCTAGAAAAGTTTTAAGAAACAAAGAGATTTAGGTAAAGATTCCTATGAGCCATAGTATATAATATATCGACAAGGATGGTTAATTGTTTGAAGATAAATCTCATTAACATGAAAGACCCTCATCATTTGGTGATTGAAAGAGCTAGCTACTCGTCTGCAGCAGCACAAGAGTGAGAAGAGTGGTGCGGGAAGCTTGCCCAAATGTCTTGCCACGTCATCTTCTCCTCAACCATGGAGGTCACGACGGAAGCTGCCTCTTTCAAGCTGACTCGGACTTGATCTTTGCTGTCTCTTTCTCTGATTGTGACCGATGTTTCTGAGTCCACCGTTATTGAAAATGGCACTCCAATCTCATCAGATCTCGCGTATCTCTTTCCTATCGATATATCTGTTCACACACACATACACACATCTTCTCACTCGGTTTGCTCCATTTGGAAATTATAAATAGTTAAGTTTCAAGTTGTTTAACGTACCAGTGATGTCAATCTTCTGTTTGATGCCATGAGATTTGAGTTCCTTGGAAATAAATTTGGTTGCTTCCTCGAATTGTTGGTTTTGAACAAGCGGGAAAACCGTGCACTTGGTAGGTGCTACAAGAGGAGAGAAACGGAACACGATCAGCTGTTTATCCCCGGCCTTGCTTGGCCTTGTGCTGAAACAGTGCTCGTACAGACAATACATGATCCGACCAATCCCAAACGACGGTTCAATCACAACCGGAGTGAAATCCCGCGTGTTCACTTTTTTCCTCTCCTTTGAGATTGACACCATGTTCTTCTTGATGGTCACGTTTTTCCCGAGGGTACACACGTAAAACTCCACTTCCCCTTCGGATTCCAGGGTTGCCTTCATCTTCATAGCTTCTTGCTCATTCATCGCCTAACAAAACATTACACCAAGCATGTTATTCATTATAAACCATTACCATGAGACAAAGAAGCTATTCAGTAAAACAATAGACTTCAGTCAGTCTACCTCCAAAGCTTCAGCCACATTCTCTTGATTTCTCTTGAATGCAGGACCCAGTTCTTTCCTCACAGGTTTAATAACAAGTTTCTGAAATAAAAGACAACCATATGAAGGACAAGTTATAAAGATAGAGGTAGAAATGTAGAGTAGCTCAAATTACCTCTACTTCTTTAGGTTCTACAAGTTTCTCTTGAGCCACAAGAGCAACGCCACTTTTGTCCTGCCATACAACAAAGAGTCCACAATCTACTTAGTAAATATAAATAGGAATACATACAATCTAGCTGTCAAACGAAATGATGAGGAATAGAGGTAAAACGGTAAGTTTCTTACTGAGTGAGCACGCAAGTCATAATCAGACCTATCTGCAATTCCAACACATTCAATCCACCCATATGAACACTCAATTTCAGCATCCCAACAATCTGCTGCATAGTGTGCCATTTCATTTGCTAGATGCTGACGGAAGCGCAGGCGTTCTTTGTCTATGCCAAGACGGGTAAGGAAAAGATACACTCTCCCAATGAAGTATCCTAGAGTTTCACTGTTCACAATGCCCTGAATACATTTTCAGTTGTAAACATCAGTATAAGCTTTTTTAAAAAAAAATCAAAGTGAGGTAGGCGAATAGTATGATTACAAATACACTGACCTTGGCAACAGCTTCACCAAGGCGAAGTTTTTTTGCAGATTGGCCAGTTTTTTCTTGTTCTTCTCTTGGAAACATAAGGAATTCGAGTTTTGCTACATGAGGGAATTTGGGATGTGACTTATTCTCAGGATCAACAAAGTGCTCAACTTCTGCCAGAGTGAATTCACGAGTTCTAAGAAGCCCTTGACGAGGAGATATCTGCAAGCAAGAAGAAACTACTTATTGAAACCCAGAGATGATAGCAACAAAGATCCCTTAAAAAGACAAATTCAGATAAACGCATTCACCTCATTCCTAAAGACTCGACCAACTTGAGCCACGGCAAACGGAAGTTTTTGTCCATTCTCATTATAATACTTCTTAAAGTTGTTAAAAATGCCTTGAGCAGTTTCAGGACGCAGGTAACTGAAACACACAAAAAAAGTAATTAACTTGATATAAAAAAAACTTAAGAAAGAAACGATTATTACATGAAAAATACTCACCCGATCGACGAACCAGTTGGTCCAATGGATGTTTGAAACATCAAGTTGAACGGGAGAGGAGGATGAGAAAGTGGATTCTTCGTGACTGGAGCAGTGATTCCATACTCCTTGATCTTGGCACCAAGCTCTTCAGCAGAAAGATCTTCCACAAGAGATATAACATGATCCAATTCAGCAGCATTCTCAGCAGAGATGGTAGGATCTTTCTTTCGGTTTTCACAATAATCCTTGACCAAGTGGTCTGCACGGTGAAAGTTTCCATCTACCAGATCCTTGACCATAAGATCAGTGAACTTTTTCACATGTCCAGATGCATTGAACACAACCTCTGGTGTCAAAGCTGTACAAGCAACCTCTAGCATATCCTCTTCATTCACAAAATACTGTAAATCAAAGAAAAAAAAATCAAAAACAGCTAACATATATAGTCTTGTCTAACGAATTGTGCAGAGATATGTGAATGAATAATCCTCACCTTACGCCAGAGGCTAAGTACATTAAGTTCAACATCACGGCCAAGAGGACCGAAATCGTAAAGTCCAGCGACACCTTTGTAGATATCGAAAGATTTATGGAAGAACAAACGATGCTCCAGAGTTTTGACCACTGCTTGCCGGAAAGCCTCACGTTCCTTCTCGACGGCGGATTTCTCAACCTTCAATTTGTTGGGAAGCTCAATCGTAGCGTTGATCTCCGGTTTTGCTGCTTGGGAGTCATCTAGAGTTCGGACGGCAAGTCCTTGATCTTCGACGGCCAAGGATTTCTCCGGACGGAGAGATTGTTCGGGAGCTTCCATCGGGGTCTGGTTCGGAGCTAAGTGGTTTGGAATCGTCAGGAAAAGTGTGAATTTGTTTCTCCGCACAAAATTTAGGTCTAGGTAGGGTTTTAATATGGAAACTTCAGCAGGGTTTATTATGAAAACTTCATAGGAAACTTGAATATAACTTTTAGGATTTTTATTAGTACCCGAAACTTTGGGCTCAAGCAATGCGTTTGGGTTTTTATAAAATATCTTATTCATTATTATTAATATATATATTAGTTTAATTGAAGTTAAGAATCTCACTTTAATTTTTAAAATTTCTGTTAGTTTTTCATGGATATTTTTTTAAAAAATAAGGACTTTTCTATTTAATACTATATTATTGTAATATATACTCCTTCTGTTTCATAAAGAGTGTCATTCTAGAGTTTGATTTTTGTTTCACAAAGAGTGTCATTCTATATTTTCAATGTAACTTTTACACAGAATTTCCTAATTTACCCTTAAATTAAAGCTAGTTTTCTTTGAATTTAAATCATTAATCACTTATTAAATAGGGGCATATATGTATAATTGAATGTTTTCTTAATTTGTGTGAATTGTGTCAAAATGACACTCTTTGTGAAACGGAGAGAGTATTAATTAAAGTTAATGCAAACTAATATCTATAAAGTTATTACATTAATATTAGTTTGCATTAACTCTTATTAATATCAACCAATGTATTTCCCAATTTTTAGCTCTATCTCTATAATAGAGGTGAGTTTTCTTTATTTTTACTCTAATGTGTTCCTCTATTTTTACCTCTAAAAAGTTTAACTCTATTTATAAGGAAAAATAGAGGATCTTGATCCTCTATATATAGTGAAAAAAATAGAAATCTATATTTTAGAGGTGAGAATAGAGGTGATTTGTCTCTAAAATAGAGTTTAGAGGTAAATATAGAGGTGGGTTGGAGATGCATCTCCAATATATTTTCTTATTTTTAGCTCTATCTCTATAATAGAGGTGAGTTTTCTCTATTTTTACTCCAACTAGAGGAAAATCCGGGATACGCCCGGCTATATATATTTAATAATTATTATTTTTAAAATTAGTTAATTTAGTTTGAATTTATTTATATTTTTTAAAAAATTATATACATGCGTAAAAATCATGTGATGTTATATTTAATATTTCGACAATATATATATATATATATATATATTGTACTATATATGCAAGAAAATCTTATGTTTTGTTAAATTTTAATAATTATTATATAAATAAGGTATTTACATACTGGAACTGTGCTCTAATCCTTGTTAAGTGCTTGCTCGATCTTATGAAGGGCGTCTGACTTCTTCTCTCTACTTCCATTGTGGTTCAGTGGCAACAAAAGAAATGGTAAACCAATATATTTTACTAAAATAAACAAAACACTTGGAGAGATAATATAAAGTTAGCAAATATAAAAGATTTAACATTTTACAAAAAAAAAAAAAATATAGAAAAGGGTAGAAACATGTGTTTACATTCTTCCTCATTCTATTCCTAAATTATGGTTACCAATTGAAGTCATAGTATATGACTTAATGTAGTAGATATATCTACTCTCATCCTTCTAAGAAAGTAGTTACCAAAGTATCTAATGACGGAAGTGTAAGTTGAGCCATATACCTTTGAGAAACATGAAAAATATTAAACTGATTAGATTTGTATTTAAATTCCATGAGAGGCTTATAGATTAATTTTATTAGAGTATTGAATATGAAAATGTTTATTAGCCTAACCTTAATCTGACACAATTGTTGCTGCGGTTGGAAGGAAGCTTAGAATTTCGAACTTCCAAGCTCTTTAGCACAAAACTCTATTTCTATTTCGTTGGCTCGTGTCTAAACTTCCTGAAAGGAAAAACTCAAACAAAAGTAAAGAAAAGAAACATTAAATCATTTACATGTTGAACAATTATTTTAACCCCTAAATAATAGTAAACATATGGACGAGTTTTATGTACTTAATTGGTGAGAATATAAAAGAACAAAAATCTGAGTATGTATGATTGTGTAACAGGAAGCTTTCTAATTCAACATGTGCATTTGTAAAATAAGAACCAAGTAATGAATAGTCTCTTCCCCTTCTCCTAAAAAACGTTGTGCCACAAAGTCTACAAACTCAATTTTGGTTACAAATTACTATATACTTGGTTATGATAATAACTTTTGGCAAGATAACAGGAAGGCTCGGAGATAAATTTAGAACTCTTTTAAGTATGTTAAACACTCGCTTGAAAACATACCCGGTTCTGTTTCTTATTTCTCACTTTACTCGAGATACTTTTGCTGACTTTCTTGTGCATACAATTTTTATGGAAGACCTTGTTGATCATCTAGTGACTCGATTCTTCTTCATATCCATACAAACGTTTAGAATAGATGGATGTCTCTACATGAGCAAGACAACATCAGTTCAGTATATGGGTCATATATACCACAATTTCGACAAGCTATAGAAAAGAAGAAGGACGATCTCTTTCTTACCTATAATCGTGGCCTTTTGGTTTAAACATGAAATCAGAGGAGCTTCAAACCACATGTATTGAAGAGATCGTGGCTTGTGGCGTGGGAGTTGATGAGTTTTATAGCTGAGAGTTGAAACTTTGTTTTAATTAGGGTTTGTGGAAGAACGTTTTTTAAGAGAAGGGGAAGAGTCTATTTGTTTCTGCGATTATGCAAGATGCAGCTTGATTTGGATGACGTCGCTGAATTTCAAAGATTTACCTTAATTGCAAAAAGAGGTGGCACAATGTGAAGGTATGTTTAGAAATCTGATGTGGACACCTTGAGAGGCCTCAATGAGCACCTTTTATTAGTAAGAGATTAGAGAGTAACCTTATTCGCTTAGAAATTGACATATGTACTTGTAAGAACGTTTAAATGTTAATCTTATCATTCTCTTGAATCTGTTAAGGCAGCAAATCTGTTGGTCAGCAACACATCCGTCCTCTCATGCGTCGATATGCGATTGTTAACACGCGTTAGAGAGTTGGCCTTTGGGCTTCTGAAACATAGGCTTAGGGAAGGTTTTGAGTAACTGGTAGAGTGTGTGGCTTTGTGATCGGAGACGGAGTAGTTCAACCGAGATTCAGCCACACCTCGGGATAGTTGGTCAGTCCTCAGGACTTCCACAACCTCAATGACTTTAGATATGAGGGAGTCATGTGATTCCAATAAATGAAGTACTTCGGCTTGTTCCATTTCGAGAATCATTCCAGTGATCTTTGCTGCTGAATCTGGCTCGAGTTGTTCAACAAGTTGGTACAAATTCTGACCAAGCATCTATAAAACCCATTTTGTTAGAAATCGAACATCAAAAGGAAAATAGTATAAGGCAAACAAAACCAAGTCTGTCCATTTTTGTAAACGCGAGTGAAGCAAAATAAAAGTGTAGAAAAAACAAACGAGATACGAAATTTTTTAGCAAGGTTCAGTTTTTCCTACTTCCCGAGTCTAAGTCCAAATATCAAATTCACTAGAACAAGAAATTAAATACAACAAATCCACAAATGCGTAAATCAAGTACAACCCTCTTGATTCACCGCTTCGTTCTATAACGAATTTTTAAAGATAAACTAATCCTTTGAGCATAGATATAAATCCTACAGAAGTTCCGCAAAACACACAACGAACCAAGGAACTCAATCAACTCAAGGCTCAAGCACCAAACAACGACACGCTGTCACACAACCCATCAATAATAACAACGTCACCAGAAATACCAATTATATGTTTTAACCATAAGCATGTTTTAAGCATTACAAAATCAGTTGCTTACCATTCTCTTATGTTCAGGGGTTGCATTTCTTAGTGCTGTAGCTTTATCCACATAAACTTGTTTTCTAATACTCATGTCTCCGTTAATCGCCGCAATCTGAACCCACTAAAAAAAAAAAAGACTTTAACGACCATTAGTATATCATGTTTCCAGTAACGTTCTGCATTGTTTATGTGCACGCATGTGTGTATCAACAAACTTACAGCTTTAGAAGCTTCCTCAGGTTTCGAAAATGCAACAAAGCCGGATCCTTTACTCACCCCACTAGAATCTCTCATAACCTAAATATCCACAGTCAAATGTAAGAAAATCTTAGATCAAATTTTTAATTTGGAAAATGACCTCATTATATACAAACCTTGCATGATGTTATAGTTCCATAGGGAGAAAAGAAATCTTTGAGGATTTCATCAGTTACGCTTATGTCCAGCTTTTTAACACGCAAGTAGTTCAAACCGTGAGATCTTTCCGCAACATTCTTCAAACGTCGCTTCATTACTAATGCCATCTCATAATTCTTTTTCGATTTCGCAACAAACCACTTCTTGTAGTAACCAAACTTCTTCCCATTCAAAGCCTCAACAGATTTGGCTGCATCATCTGGATTTACAAAATTAACATAGCCGAACCTTTTTGACTTTCCTTGATCATTTATTTTGATCTCACAACTCGTCGTCGGTCCAAACTTTTGAAAAACTCTATTCAATTCAGTTTCAGTCATATATTTGGGAATTTTTTTGACAACAACATTGACACCTTGAGAATCTCTCTGAAGAAAAGGTCCGACAAATACTTTTGTATCGTTATAAAGCATTCCATTCATATGTTTTATGGCTTTGTGAGCTGATTCTTCAGTGTCATACTGAACAAAGCCAAAGCCTTTTGATTGACCAGCGGCATCAGTCGCTACTTTGCTTCTAACAATTAATCCATAGTAGGCAAATGTATCATGGAGTGCTTCGTGATCGATGGATTTGTCAAGGTTCTAAGACACATTACAGATCTTAAACAGCGTCAAATAGGATATATGTATATATATATATAAAAAGAAAAAAGGAAGAACCATGTTTAGTACCTTGATGGATATATTACCAACTCCGTTGAGACTTAGAGTTTGGCCGTAATACATAATTCTAATGGACTTTCCCTTAAAAGTAACAAAGTTTAGCTTCAGTAGTGCTTTTTCAGCTGCACCGACCCGACCAGGAAGCAAAAACATAGCTTATGGGTTCATTTATGTAATTGAAGTAAAGATGTTTTGCAAAAATGAAAGAAAAGAACAAATCAAAGATAGTAATAATATTAGTTACCATCATGACGATTGGCAAAGAAGACGTAGCCATAGCCAAAAGAAACATAGGTCGAAGGATCTCTACAAATATGAACACGGACAACATGAGCCGTATCGGAAAACAAATCGAAGAGATCTTCTTCCCTAATGTTCCGTTCAAGATTCCCAGCGTATAGTGAATTTAACCACATATCTTTCCACCTTTCGAACATATAATCCCAACCAAAATATTCTATCATTTTTCTTGGTGTTTTGAAGAAATCCTAAATCTTTGTGCTTTATCCTAGCCTCTTTGGGTTATATATTGAAATCCTAAGTCAACGATCGTTATCGGCGAAGATGACCTTCTCAAACAACGCACGTGGTGTAAATAACAAGGTCAAGGTTTCAACTGACATAAAATTATAGGGCCCTGAATTGTATGCCATTAAGAAATATCAACCTTGTATCAAGTCGTGGCTCGTGAAATCGTCGTCTGCGTATTTTTTGTTAGTAAATTATTTTATGATAACACGAAAAGGTGTATTCTATTTTATTTCGAATAAGTTCAAATATTTTTGACGACAAAAATTTGTGTTTATATGTTTTGAATGCCCCGTCTATATTGGTTATTGTTATAATTTATAACTAAATTTATATAAAAGGTAATCTTTCAAATGTAATAACTTAAATATTGTTTTGCTAAAAGCGGTCTTGACGGATTGGGACGAGAGTGCTGACGTGTCAAGGGGAAAAAAGGGCGATTAGGTTTTTTGCGTCTCTCGCAAGAATGCAGCAGCCGGCGGCTTCTCCGGGCCATCCTGGAGAGGTTTCGGCGCCGGAAAAAGGTACTGGTTCTCAGGAGAAGGTTATCGAAAGTCAGGAGGTGGGTTTCAGTGGGTCTCAACAGGAAACAAAGCAGGATTTGAATCTCGTAGAAGTTTCGACGGGTGATAGCACAGATCTCAGAACAGTTGTCAGCAAGGAAAAGGTTTCGACGGTGGTACGTGCGGCTGGGATTCCAGAGAAAAAATCATGGGTACAAGTCGCTCAGAAACATGTTTTCACTAAACAGAAGTTTGTCGTAGAGGCAGTAGATGGGCAAGAGAGAGTAGTGGTACCGAAAGAGGTTTTTGTAGGAGCGAAACCACTTTGGGAGGACTTTGTGATTGGAAAATTTTTGAGTACAAAAGCTCCACATGTGGGGAAGATACATATGATTGTCAACAAGATATGGCGACTGGGAGATAAAACAACGTTGATAGATGTGTTTGAAGTGAATGAAACTACAGTAAAGTTTAGGATCCGAAACGAGGGTATGAGGCATCGAATTCTTAATAGAGGCATGTGGAATATCATGGATTTACCAATGGTAGTCTCCAAATGGTCCCCTTTTGCGGAGGAAGCACAACCTGCAATGAAATCAATTCAGCTTTGGGTTACCCTAAAAGATGTCCCTTCATCTTTGTTCACAGATAAAGGACTGGAATTTCTATCTAGTGCAGTGGGAAGACCAAAAAGGTTACACCCGAAAACAGAAGCTTGTGTGAGTTTTGAAGAAGCTCAAATTCTAGTGGAAGCAGATTTAACAAAAGATCTACCAAAAGAGTATGTATTCAGGGGTGAGGAAGAAGGTGAGCTCGATGCAGTGATCAAATATTCATACCCGTGGCTCCCACCACGTTGCAGCTGCTGTGGGAATGGGGACATCTGAGAGATTCTTGTCTTGCTGAAGCAAGAAAGATCGCACAAGACCAAAAAAATCCTACTGTGAGCTCTGTTTCTGACACAGAGTTGGCGACAAAAGTTTCAACTCCAGCTCCGGAGCAAAATGTAGCCGTGGAAATAGTTTCAGTACCTAACTCTATAGAAGGACAAAATGGTAACGTTGCTAGCCCTGCAGATGGTGTAGAGCAAGGCAGTGACGACCAGGGTTGGATTACGCCTCCAAAAACAAGTCGCAGCCCCAGCAAGAGATCAGAGGGTCCAAAGTATGGGGAGGTCTCCATTCTCTCTAATACCTACTCGGCTCTAGAAATGGTGGATGAAGTGGGGGAAGAGGCTAAGGATGAAGAGGAGGTGGGTGGGGAGGTAGAAACTCAAACCACGCAGGCTTCTCAGGAGGAGGTACAAAAATCAGATCAGATGGTGTCATCTAGGGGAGTTAACTTGCCCCTGAGACAGTCTCTTCCAAGAGGCTCTAAAACAGCTCATAAAACGGTATCGGTTTCTTCTACTCAATCGGCTAGGATTATTCCTAAAGATCAGAGTAAGAGAACCCATCCAAAACATCATTAATGTCAGGTTTCTTTTGGAATGTTCGCGGCTTAAACAAATCAACTAAACATTCCGTTATAAAGAAATGGGTGGAGGAACAAAATTTCCAGTTTGGTTGTCTACTGGAAACAAGAGTTCAGGAGAAAAAGATGCAGAAGTTGGGTTGTAAACTTTTTAAGGATTGGTCTGTTATGACGAACTACGAACATAACCGGCGTGGTCGCATATGGGTAGTATGGCGTAACAATGTAAGGCTAAGTCCGTTTTATAAAAGTGGTCAAATAATAACATGCTCGGTGAAGTTGGAGGGACAAGAGGAGGAATTTTTTTGCTCGTTCATCTATGCATCGAATTTTGCTACTGAAAGGAAAGGTTTATGGAGTGAATTAAGAGATCATTTTGACTCTCAAATCATTCGAAATAAGCCTTGGATAATTTTTGGAGATTTCAATGAGATATTGGATTTGGAGGAACACTCGCGTGGGGATGACAATCTATTGATCACACCGGGGATGCGTGATTTTCAGGCGATGGTGAATTATTGTAGCCTCACAGACCTACCTTCTCACCGTCCACTTTACACCTGGAGCAATAGGCAAGAAACTGATTTAATTTTGAAAAAATTAGACAGGGTCTTGGTGAACAATAAATGGAAGCAGGTCTACCCGCAATCTTACAATGTTTTTGAGGCAGGTGGGTGCTCAGATCATTTGAGATGCCGGATTAATCTAAATACTGAGGCTGGTGCACGTGTTAAGGGGAAGAAACCTTTTAAATTTATCAATGCTGTTACAGACATGCAGGAATTCAGGCCAATGGTTGACGATTACTGGTCCAAAACAGAGCCCATCTTTATGTCAACTTCCTCCATGTTCCGGTTCACAAAAAAATTGAAGGTGCTTAAACCAATGATCCGGCTTCTAGCAAAGGAAAAAATGGGCAACCTTGTAAAGAAAACAAAGCAGGCGTATGATGTGCTTTGCCAAAAGCAAGAGGCGAATCTGAAGAATCCTTCTCCACAAGCCATGGAAGAGGAAACAGATGCTTATGATAAATGGGATCGTTTGGCAGGAATAGAAGAAAAATACTTGAAGCAAAAATCAAAACTCCATTGGATGCAGGTTGGTGATAAGAATAATAAAACTTTTCACCGAGCTGTAATGACTAGAGTAGCGCAGAATACCATTCGAGAGATTCAACGACAAGATGGTAGTGTTACAGACAAGGAGGAGGAGATAAAAGAAGAGGCTGAACGTTTTTTTCGGGAGTTTCTACAGTTGATTCCAAATGATTATGAGGGAGCTTCGATAGAGGTACTCCAAGACCTACTACCATTCCGATGCTCAGCAACGGAACAAGAGAATCTAATGAAACCAGTCACAGGAGAAGAGATAAAGTCAGTCCTGTTTTCAATGCCAAACGATAAATCTCCGGGGCCGGACGGATACACCTCAGAGTTTTATAAAGCAACATGGGAAATTATAGGCGCAGAATTTATAGTGGCAGTGACATCTTTTTTTGAAAAGGGTTTCCTGCCAAAGGGGGTTAATTCTACCATTCTTGCTCTCATCCCAAAGAAGCTGGAGACAAAAGAAATGAAAGACTAAAGACCAATCTCGTGTTGCAACGTTATCTACAAAGTTATATCAAAGATAATTGCTAACAGGTTGAAATCAGTGCTCCCACAGTTCATAGCGGGTAATCAGTCGGCTTTTGTGAAGGATCGTCTACTGATCGAGAATTTGCTCCTAGCAACGGAGATTGTAAAAGATTATCATAAGGACTCAGTTTCGGAACGCTGCGCCATAAAAATAGACATCTCCAAGGCTTTTGACTCTGTCCAATGGTCGTTTATCAAGACTGTTCTTCTCGCTTTAAATTTCCCACAGGAATTTGTTCATTGGATTATGATCTGCATCACCACAGCGTCTTTCTCGATACAGGTCAATGGAGAGCTTGCTGGATATTTTAATAGCTCGAGAGGCCTGCGACAGGGTTGTTCTCTTTCCCCATACCTTTTTGTCATCGCTATGGATGTCCTATCTAAAATGCTTGATAGGGCTGCGGGTTTGAAGAAGTTTGGATACCATCCTCGCTGCAAAAACATCGGTTTAACACATCTCACCTTCGCGGATGATCTAATGGTTATGTCCGATGGTAAGATTCGTTCAATCGAGGGTATTGTGGGGGTCTTTAATGATTTCGCAAAAAAATCAGGTCTTAAGATAAGTATGGAGAAGACAACCATTTATTTAGCGGGTAAAGCTACACAATGTCGTCAAGAAATAGAAGATCGTTTCCAGTTTAAAGCGGGTAACCTTCCAGTGCGGTATCTTGGCCTTCCACTAGTCACTAAGCGCCTCACATCAAACGACTATAGTCCGCTTCTTGAATAGATTAGGAGAAAACTAGGGACCTGGACAGCCCGACACCTCTCCTACGCTGGCCGCTTAAATTTGATTCGTTCTGTACTATGGAGTATTTGCAACTTCTGGCTAGTTGCTTTCAGACTCCCTCGAGAATGTATAAGAGAGGTTGATAGGCTCTGTTCTGCGTTTCTCTGGTCTGGCCCAGAACTCAACCCTAAGAAAGTGAAAGTCAATTGGGATTCAATCTGTAAACCGAAAAAAGAAGGGGGTCTTGGTTTACGATCACTTCAAGAGGCTAATGACGTTTGCTGTTTGAAATTAATATGGAGACTGGTCTCGCACACTGACTCGTTGTGGGTGAAATGGATAGAGAAATACCTTTTAAAGAAAGACACTTTTTGGTCGATTACCACAAGGTACCAAGGTTCCTGGATGTGGCGAAAGATGCTAAAGTATAGAGAGGTAGCAAAGCGTTTCTGCAAAGTAAAAGTAAACAATGGAGCTACCACTTCATTTTGGTTTGATGACTGGTCCAATATGGGACGTTTGATCGACGTTGCAGGGGCACGGGGTCAAATTGACCTGGGAATAAGCAAATACAAAACAGTGGCTGAGGCTTGGAGGGGTCTCCGAGGGCGTCGACACAGAGCTGCAATTTTCAATGACATAGAAACAGCACTTCTCTCTAAACGACAATGTCAAACAGAGGGAAAAGACATTGTCTTATGGAAAGGAAAGAACGATGAGTTTAGACCAATATTTTCCACGGGAGACACTTGGAATCATACTCGTACCGCTTCTACTGAAGTCACTTGGCACAGGGGTGTCTGGTTCTCTCATTCAACGCCTAAATACTCGTTTTGTGTCTGGTTAGCTGCTCTAAATCGACTCTCCACAGGGGACCGCATGAACTTAATGCCGCGGATAAATACGAATATGATCTTTGGATATCTATGGATTCTCAAAGACAACTCGTAGCTCGGAGATCTCAGCTTTGTGTATCAATGGATCACGAAACAGAGATATCAAAGACTTCTTTGAGAAAAGCTTTCTCTTTATTAATATTCAAAAACAACCAGTTCTCTCCTTACAAATAAGAGGAGTATTTATAAGACTCAAAGAAACGTGAAAACCCTAGTCGGAGCTTGATGTCCAAGCAAAACCTTAAACCGACTTAATTAAAACAAGTAATAAAGCCCAACAAGATTAAAGATAAAGATAGAGTAAAGCCTGATAAGAGAACAGAGAGATGTCGCTACATCAGGTCACCGGGGGTAAAGAAGAATTCGTCCTCGAATCGACAACCTCATCATCACCAACGAACGGGAACAAGTGCTTAACATTAAAAACATTGGCTGTGTGCATGTGGGGAGGCAAACGAAGCCTGTAAGCATTATTATTAATCTTCTCCAATACTTCCAAAGGACCAATCTTACGAGCTTTCAGTTTATTGTATGTTGAAGCCGGAAATCTATCTTTTGTCAAGACAGCCCACACCAAATCACCAACTTGAAACTGCACTTCTCGTCTATGAACATCAGCCGCTGCTTTATACTTAATTGTTGCAGCCTCTAAATTTGCTTTGACCTTGTCATGAACAGAACGAAACTCATCAACAACATCACAAGCTCTCCCATGAAAACGTGAACGATCGGGAGCAACACCTAAGTCAAGTGGACCACGAGGTGCAAAACCATATATCACGTGAAATGGACTAAATCCCGTGCTACGATTCACTGCATGATTATGCGCAAACTCAGCCTGACAAAGAACCCTATCCCAAGAGCGAATATTGTCACCCACCAAGCACCGCAAAAGATCACCTAATGCGCGATTAGTCACTTCAGTTTGGCCGTCGGACTGCGGGTGATAAGCCGAGCTCATATCCAAACTAGTTCGGAGCAACTTCCACAACGAACGCCAAAAATGGCTCAAAAATCGAGAATCTCGATCAGAAACAATGGACAAAGGAAGGCCATGAAGACGATAAATCTCGCGGAAAAATAAGACAGCCACCTGTGAAGCATCCGTCGTCTTTTTGCAAGGAATAAAATGAACCATTTTTGAAAATCGATCAACGACCACAAAAATATAATCATTCCCACGTTGCGTACGGGGTAAGCCAAGGACAAAGTCCATGCTAACATCAGTCCATGGTTGTGTTGGAATCGGTAAAGGCAAATACAATCCAGCATTAGAGGCTTTACCCTTTGACGCTTGACAAGTCCCACACCTAACCACAAACCGCTCAACATCTCTTCTCAATGTAGGCCAGAAATAAGATTCAGCTACTAGCTTAAGTGTCCTATCACGTCCAACGTGTCCTTCTCCATGTAATTCTCGAATCACTTGTAACCTGAGACTACAGTCGGGAATACAAAGCTTAGTCCCCCGAAACAGAAAGCCATCCACCACAAGATAATCAGAGCTACGGTCCATCTCAATGTCAATCCAGATTTTTTGAAAAAAAGGATCCGCAGGGTACAGCTCCGGTAACATTTCAAAACCAGTGATTGATGCATGAGAAGTCGCAAGTAGCGAATGCCGTCGGCTAAGCGCATCAGCCACTCTATTAAGCGTACCCGCCTTGTGCTTAATCACAAACGTGAATTGTTGTAAGTATGCAAACCACGAAGCATGTCGCGACGAAACCTTATCTTGAGCTCCCATATGTTTAAGTGCGTCATGATCAGTAAACAACACAAACT